AAAAAAAAAAAAAAAAAAAAAAAAAAAAAAAAAAAAGCCAGTCAAACCATTTTCTTCCTTATGTCATCAGATGACTGCAGGATATTTATAATACATTTCTAATTTAAAGAAAAGGCAAAAAGCAGAGCCAGGTGCAACACACAGTCTAATTTATGTGAAGAAAGAAGAGTTTATAAACTATAAACACACATGAACACTGGTATTTACACAAAAATATTGGAACAAGCCTATGTATTCATGGTGGTCACTTCTAGTAGTGATGGCCTGATTGGAAAGGCTTACAGGAGGGGTATTCCTTAATATCGACAAACTTTTAAAATGATAGAAAGAGGAAGGAACAATCACTTGGTTTGGGGTGCCTATGATGGTTAGTGTTGCTTTTCAATGAGACAAAACCTAGAGTCACCCCATAAATGGACCTGTGAAGTATTGTCTAGATTAAATTAGCCTCCTAGAATGTTTGTGAGGGATTATCTTGGTTTTTTTAAATTTATGTGGAAAACCCATCTTAAGAGTGTTTGGGGACATTGCCCAGAATATGGCTCCTAGGATGTAACGTGGAGAGACTGACATAACACCAGCACACGTCAGATCATTGCCTGCTTTCTGACTGTGGCCAGGGTATGACCAGATGCTTCAAGCTTCTGATGCCTTGACTGCCCCACCTGGACCTGTGAGATAAAATAAATGCATTGTCTCATCTGCTGTTTTTGTCAAATTTTTATCTATCAGTGGAAAAAGGAAGGGAGACAGGGATCCTCTATGGAGAAGGCTGGTCATCAGTCCCACTCTTTTCTACTGAGCATACAGCCTTAGCCCTGTAGCTCTGATTACAGAAACCTGGATGCAACTCTCTAGAGCATCTCAATGTGAAATCTGGAAAATGATGACTTGTTCTCCCTCACCTCAAATTTGGGATTATTAATCCTTGTCTTGACTTTGATGATGACATGAAATAAGAGTAGCAGGATGGATTAAAGTTATAACGTCTTCATGAAACATTATAAAGAAGTTCTTGTGCCTTGAGACTCCAAGATTTACTAAAAAGTGGGGCAGGGCAACAGAAGATAAAAGAAGACCAAATGGTAAAGCAAGGGAGAGCACCAAGAGACTTTCTACAATGCATAGGCCAGGCTCTGATACAAGGTATAGGAACCCTAGCACAGATGTCCAACCCATCATCTGTAGGACACATGCGGCTCAGATGACCTTGAACACAGCCCAACACCAAACTACAAACTCACTGAAACATTATGAGGTTTTCTTTGTAATTTGACTCTATAGTTTTTCAAGTGTAAGTTTTGTAGATAACAAATGTGGCAGCCCAAAGTTGGACACTCCTGTGAGTGTCCACACGTGGTGGTTGGGATGACTCTCAATTGCCTACTGCTCAATGGATCTTGGTGAACTGTTAGGCAGGCGCAAAAAGAACATGGGAAAGGAGATAGTACTTACTTTGTGCAAATGCCTCTTGCACATCTCCCCCTACCCCAGTGAGGGAATCCTGAGGGGTGTGCGCTGGTGTGGAGCAGGCAGATGCTGACCGGATGGGCATGGGGATTGGCCTGCTGATGGTGTGGCTGGGGGAGGAGCGAGGGGAGCCCGCCCCCTGGGTCTGCAGAAACAAGACACTTCATTAGTTTGCTGTCACAAGAAAAGCCCATATGCCTTCTCTAAAGTCTCAGGCCCCATGTTATAAATAGTGACAACATCATTCCAAAACAGGAGCAAATCTTAGGAAACCAAGGAGACTCCCCTAAACCTAGTTGCAAATATAGACTAATTTAGGGAGTTGCCATACATAATCTGAAGTCTGTGTTCATATTGATTGTTCTACAATATGATATCTTTGTCCTTTCCACAAAGCTGTTGTTAAACAGATACTTGCAATGTGTGTATATTTCTCTGGGAAGCATGTCCTACAGAGAATAATAGACACAAAAGAGAAAGTTTTCAGTACAGATATGGTAAATTTATTCCCTAATTTCCAACCTGCTTTGGTCTCATTTTTAGGCACAACTCAGAACATGTCTTAGAATATTTCATACTGTCTAAAATAACTGCACTGAGATGTACATTGCTTAATCTCTATTTACAATAATCCTGACATTGTGAAATTACTTTGCAAATCAATGATATGAATGGGGAAGAAGGAAAAGAAATCTTGGTGTCTTTTTATTCTTTCCTTCATTGATTGATTTTATCTGATATCACACACACACACACACACACACACACACACACACACACACACATATATGTTAAATGTTCAACCCCAGGTGAATATATCTATTCAAGTGTCTATCATTTCTTCATGATGAAAACATTCAAAATGCTTTCTTCTGGCTTTTTAAAAATAACTTTTTGTTTTTTGAAATTGTAATATAATTATATTATTTGCCCCCTTCTCCATTCTCCAAATCTTTTTATGTACCCCACCCCCTTACTCTTCTCAAATTTATGGCCTATTTTGAAATCATCAGTACACTGTTGTTATCTGTAGTCATGCCACTATGCAGTAGCATTCCAGAGCATCTCTTGTGTAATTGCATCTTAGTACCCACCCTTCAACATTTCCCTATCATTTTCTTTGCTCTGCTCTTCCCAGCTTCTGATAAGTACTGTTCTACTTTCCATTTCTTAGCATTGGCTTTTATTTTTCACATATGAGTAAGCTTATGTGGGACTTGTCTTTTTGCACGAGACCTATTTTATCTAACATATCCCCCACACACCCCCCCCCACCCCCCCCCACCCACACACACACCCACACACACCCACACACACACACACACACACACACACACACACACACACAGACACACACATGGGCACACACACGGGCACACACATGGGCACACACAGAGACATACATAGACATACAAACACACACATAGACACACACACATAGACTCACACACAGACATACACAT